AACATAGGGATAAGCAATTTCTCTCATTTTCTAAGTTAAAATAGGAATTGTGGATTCAACTCCTCTCTCATTTTTTTTTCCTGTACATGGTAGGGATAAGTAATTTCTGTGGTGACTAGAAGTGCATATGATCTACTCAATTGGGATGCCAAGCTTGCAATCACTTGCTTCCACATAATTTGTTAAAAGTTTATCTCTATTGTGCATGCCAGTTTTCTAGATATAAATAAAAATATCACTTAATAAAATAAATAACATTAGGCAAACGCTATTCAGCCACCCACAATTTTTTATAGGTTGTGTAAACTAAACTTAAAGTGATAAGAAAAATAACTCACATCTTCACCAAAATATGGAAAACACAACAAATGGCATCCTAGTACTAACAACAAGCCAGCCACTCAACCACCTGAATTCTGTTAAGCCAGATAAACTTGTTCGATTTTTTTCTTTGCCAGAAGTAGTGTTTTAAAGGCGAGCGCCTTAGTGCCTAAGGTGCAAAGGCGAGGCACTAAATAGGGTCACCACCTCTCGCATGAAGAGAGGTGATGGGATTAGTCAAGCGCTCGCTTGAAATCACCTTGTGGCCTCAAGATGCCTGTTGAAGCGAGTTGAAGAACAAGAGAATAGAAGACAAGTAGATGACAGTTGACTACTAGGCATGAAGAAGAGACAAAGACGACTGACTAGGACTAGGTATTGATGAGAGAAGACAATGATCGAATGGAACTGGGTATTGAAGAAGAGAAGACGAGGACGAGGACGATGTTGATTGGGTTTGGAAGTAGAGCAGATGAGCATGACACTGACTACTTTAATCAATTGCTATTGGGTAGCGTATTGAAGAAGATGATGGGTTTGCTCTTTTTTAATAAATAACCCATTAAAATATGATATAAAATATGGAGAGTTATATGATATAAATTAGAAAATAGGGAAAATTTAAATTTAAATTAAGGGAGGACAATTACATAATGGAAAAGATTTAAATTTATTACAAGAAATAATCTTTGATTGAAATTTAAACTTGATAGGGAAATTATTGTGACCCTTGAGAAAATTTTTAGGGAAGTTTAACCCTAACTTATACTTTTTAAGTTATAAAAGAGAACTTATTATGACCCCTTAGAAGTTCAGACCAAAGCAGCAACACCTAGAAGCTACAGCTCGTGGTAGCACCTTCCTTCATTCAAGCACCCGCCATTCTAGCACCTTCCACCTAAGGCATTTTATAGGCCTGTGCCTTAAGTGTGCCTTTCGCCTTTAACAACATACCTGGAAGTAGTTAGACCAGGGTCCAGGTGCAAATACTGTGTTGACAAAAGAGGGAGACTTAAAGTTTGGGGGAAACTAATCAACCAAACACAAAATATATCATTGTGAGACTTGAAAATGTTTGTACATATCAAAATTGGTTCCTAAACCTTCATCCATATAAATATCATGACCACTCAGACATTTCTACCATTAAACGTGGCTGCATGAGTAGTTACTCTTTCTTTAACTTAAAAATACTTTTCTAAATCGTTATGCCTCCCCCCCCCCCCCCCAAAAAAAAAAAAAAACACTTCAGTACCTCTTAGAGTGAAAGATATTTGCACAACTGAAATCCATTGTCTTTAATATTCTTGAGTAATGTTGTCAGCATCTATTATTAATCTGTAATCTGACTTTAACTACACTTTGCTAGCCATTCCCTCTCACATTTTCTGTGGCATGTTCTGACATTGTTCAAATGTTTAATTGACTGATCTGCAGGTCAGGGAGCATGCACGGAAACTTTTAGAAAAGCACTTGAAGAAACCTTTCTTTGATGTGCGGTGAGCTTTGTGCATTATTATTTGTGCTTTTGCTCATATCTTGGGTTATCTTTATCAAGGTTGGGTTTATAGTTCATGTGATATGGGGACTTGAGCCACCAGCACTGCTTATGATGAGGGATGCTTTCATTAGTTATATTTGATAGTAAATATCCACTTGTACACAAGAACTTTGTTCCATTTTGGCAAGTCAATAAACTTCTAGTTTAGTTTCTGTCAGCAGCATTCATCTCATCTTTAATGGCTTTACTTACTCTGTTTGCAGTTTGCAGTTTGCAGTTCATTAATATTAGTTGGAATCTGCTCACTTGAAATATTAGCTTCGAAACTCAATAACTAAGAGACTTGTCATTTGAGATGTACTCACATGCAATGTTTAGTGCACCACCTCTACTCTTTCCTGAGCGTATAGGCAAATCTAGTTCATCATGGTTTCTAAGTTAGACGGTTAGACAGCTCAAGCGGTGCAGTTGGTTCTATGCAAATCCAACTCTAAACATTGTAACTTTATCCTAATCAAAATAGGATAGCTCAAGTCTTATTAAAATAGAATATATAATCTAATCTCAAACATTTAGGAAGATTGTTAAAAATGACCGAAGAAAAGAAATTATCCTTAAACAAAGCAATCAGAATAAACGAATTAAAATCAAAATAATTTCCAACAATCTTAAACAGCTTACACAAATCTTTAATCTGCATCTTATGCGTTAATTTCATCACATAGGCTTCACAGCTTGGCACCTAGCATCATACAGCTCCCTATAGTTTTCCCATGTCTTGAATGCATGACACTTAAAATGCAAAATTCAAGCATCAAAATACAACGTGCAAATATTAAAAATCAATATGAAACAATATTCATACAATTATAGCGATGTAAATTATGATAAAGCTGTGTACTTCTGTGCCCATGTGTCATTCAAAATTGATCTAGCTCATACCTAATAATTGTGGTCAAGCAAGGCTGCATTCACAAATAGTTTTGTGAAAATGATGTATACTTCTAAGAAGAATTTTTTACTAGTATGATAAAATAGTTATATGGTAGTGAATATTAGGCTTTAAAGGGACAATTGCATAATGTTGGAGTAGCAAAGATGAGGATGTTAAAATGGATGTGTGGGTATGCAAAAATAGATAAGATCCATAATGAACATATATGAGAAAAAGTGGGCGTGAGATCTATTGAAGAGATGGTAAAAAATTGTTTAAGATGGTTTCGACATGTGTAAAAAGAAAAAAAAAAGATGTTGGAGGCGCTGGTGAAAGAGTAGAATGGATAGTTTTAAGTCACGTGAAGAGGGGTAGAGAAAGACTAAAGAAAACAAGATCTTTTGGTTAATAATATGCCCAAAGGCGTGGCTGTTGATAGAGTACAATAATGCCATACAATTCATGTAGCCAATTCGATTTTGTGGGTTTACTTGGAAAAAAAATGAGGAATGAAATGATCGAAATATATTTTTGAAATACTTACTTATGATGTCCATTGTACTGACCCCCTGAACTTAACTATTTCCATCGATGCAAGGGTAATACTTTTCTTAACTTTAAGATTTTCCTAAATGCTTAATACCCAAGCCAATAACTTTGCTATTGAGCTTTCTTTACAATCTCTGTAGTTTGTTCTTGAAATGCATAAAATTCTTTTCCCTACGGATCATCTGAATATTTTGAGCTCCAACAATATATGTCTATTTTAGTCAATTTTGTATTTAGAATTTGATTGGCAAGGATGCCAAAGATTAAATTTAAATTCATATCTTTGCAAAATTTATTTGCTAATACTTAGGTGATCAAATTAGTGAATATTATCTGTTAATCCTCTTGCATCAGCAGCAATACTTAATATTATTCTTATGTTAATGTTTATAATCACCTATCTTCTGGTCTTTGTCTGATGATAGTTATGGCGACTCTGTTGAACGTATGAGTGTGGAGGAGTTAGAACAGGGGAAGAGCTGGTTAAGTGATACTTTTCAACTCATAAGGTAAGCCTGTGGATGGCTTGGTTGCATCCCACCCCTCCCAACCCACCCGCCCCCCCCCCCAAAAAAAAGGACAAACAAACTAAAAGAAAGAACCAAAGGAAAAAAGCTCTCTCTCTCAACTTATTTCGTAATTTGATATCTGGCTAATTGAGCGACTGTTGTTTACTCAAGCATGGATAACAAGACAATCATTATTTCTTGAGGCACTGAGGGAAGTTATGGGTTATAATATAATTTATTTATATTTGAAACTAGGGAAAGATAGAACCTTGTTAAAACTAAGCGGAAATCAGAATCAGGGATCCACCCATTTTAACCAATTGATCTGGCTGGTCTTTGGTTGTTGAAGCTGAATCTCCTCTGCTTGTATTTTTTCCCCCATCTTTCCTTTATCTTATGTACTAATACTGTTGCTGAAATTGTAGTCTTGTCCGTGAATTCTATAAATTACTTAATCTCTTGGAGCTTTCAGGGCCTCTAGAATGTTAGCATAAAAGTGAATTGTCAGTGCTTATATCAGGAGCCTTCTAGTCTTGGGCTCTATCCTTGAATTTGTTGAGAAACGATGACTTTTTTTTCTTGATGGCTGTTGCAGGTTCTTGGCAGTGATTAATTAGCATATTTGTGGAAATATACTATATTTAATGTAAATATCTGATAGTTATTATAGGATCAGATATATTAGGAAATATTTTATTTTATTCTCCCTATCCCTTATTTCTTGGCCATATATCTCGGCTGATATCATGGTCTGTATGTGTATATGTATGCGTCCTCCCACTGTACAGTTGAATTCAGTTTTTTGCTCAGTAATTCTTCATGGTATCAGAGCTCGAAGAAGAACAAGCAACTGAATCATCAGAGACGAACATGGACTCGAGCTTTCAGCCTGAGACTCACCGAAATACAGAGTCGACTGGCTTGGAGAGTTCGTCCGGTGCGAGCTCACGTCAAGTCGCACACCTCGTGATTGGCCAAGAGAGCTCGCTCGTCTCTCTCGTCTCAGAAAAACTCACCGGCGTCAACTACCGAGAATGGGCCCAGACGGTGCGGCTCGCGGTAGAAGGTCGTGGCAAATGGGGGTACGTTTCCGGTGAAACCCAATGTCCAGAGGCAACGAATGTCAAGGCTCTCAGGCTTTGGAAGACCGAAAACTCAATGGTATGCTCATGGCTGGTTAATTCAATGGCACCGGCTGTGAAGAAGATTTTTTTATTTCTCCCAACAGCTCGTGAGATATGGGACACTGTGAAGGAGGCATGCTCAGATGGGGAGAATGCTTCTCAAGTGTTTGAAATTAAATCCAAGCTATGGCTCGTAAAGCAAGGTAATCGTGACCCAAGTGAATATTACTTGGAAAAAACTGCTCTATGGCAAGAACTTGATCTGATTACTGCTGAAGAATGGACCAGTTCTGAGGATGCTGCTCGGTTTAGAAAACGGCTAGAGAAAGAACAACTGTATGAGTTGCTAGTCGGACTTAATTCAAACTTGGATGATGTTCGTGGCAGAATTTTGAGTTTGGAACCTTTGCCATCTGTCTGTGAAGCCTTTGCAATGATCCGGAGGGAGTACTCTCGAAGGAAGGTAATGTTGAAAGATGAACCCATTTCTCAAACCGGTACTTTTGAATCATCTGCTCTTGCTGCCAAGTCTAATGATCCTAGAAGCACTAAAGGACGTCCCACGTGTGAACATTGTAAGAAAGTGGGCCACATAAAGGATAAATGCTGGGACCTCCACGGTAAGCCACCCGACTGGAAGCCAAGAAAGGGAAAAAGTCGTGGATTTGTTGCTGAAAGCTCTACGGGAGATGATAATTCACAGCCCTCAAATGATCAACTAAGTAAGATCATTGAAATGCTGTCAGCCCTGCAAACTAAAAGCAACCTATTGCTACTGTGGTACAAAGAGGTAATTTTTCTAAAGCCTTGGCTACTATTAAACGAGTATGCATTGGAGATTGCTGGATAGTAGACTCAGGCGCGTCGGATCATATGACGGATAATATTAAATTATTTACGACCTATGTACCTTGCCAAAAGAACTTTACAGTCAAGATTGCCGATGCATCGGAGTCAGTCATCTCTGGTATAGGGAGTATACAACTCTCGTCTACTTTAACCTTACATCACGTTCTGCATGTGCCTAATTTAAAATGCAGCTTACTCTCAGTAAGTAAATTGGCAAAAAATGAGAAATGTCATGTTGATTTCTTTGCTACTTATTGTCTTTTCCAGGATCAACTGACAGGGATGACGATTGGCAGTGCTAAGGAATTTGATGGTCTTTACTACCTAGATGGAAATAAAGTCAGTACTGTTAGGTCATGCAATAAAGTGTCTCTCCCTAAGACTAGTGAGTTGGAGTTGTGGCACAAACGTCTTGGTCATCCTAATTTCAATTATATGTCAAAAATGTTTCCTTTAATTTGCAATAAAAGAGATTATTCTCAGCTTTATTGTGACTCTTGTGAAAAAGAAAAACATCATCGTGTTTCCTTTCCTAATCAGCCATACGTTGCATCAAAGCCTTTTACAATCATTCACAGTGATCTATGGGGGCCCTCTCGGGTCCCTAATAGGACTCACTCAAAGTGGTTCATCACCTTTATTGATGACCATTCTCGAGTTACTTGGGTGTTCCTTCTAAAAGACAAATCTGATGTTTCTCAGGTGTTCATTGATTTCTATCATATGGTAAAAAATTAGTTTCACACGTCTATTCAAACCCTTCACACTGATAATGGCATAGAATACTTCAACAAACATCTCTCCACTTTTTTACTTTCCAATGGAATTGTTCACAAAAGTACCTGTCCTTACAGTCCTCAGCAAAATGGTATTGCTGAAAGGAAAAATAGGCACATTCTTGAAACAGCTCGTGCACTCCTCTTTAGTAGCCATGTTCCTAAATATCATTGGGATGATGCTGTCCTAACTGCAACCTTCCTTATTAATCGCCTTCCCAATCGCACCTTGTCATATAAAACTCCCATTGAAGTTCTACACCAAACTTACAATCTACCCTACCTGGAAAATACTTTACCCTTACGGGTATTTGGATGTACTTCCTATGTTCATCTTCATCACACAAACAAACTTGACCCCAAAGCTGTCCGATGTGTTTTTCTTGGTTACTCTGCCACTAAAAAGGGGTACAAGTGCTTTGATCCCACCACCAAACGTATCTTCACCACCTGTGATGTCACCTTTCACGAAACTGAATCCTTCTACTCCCAATCCCCAATCCAGGGGGAGAATTGAAATGAATTGCAGATTGGCATGGGTGAAAACATGAGTGAAATACCTGAAACACCCAATCTTATAGCTGTACCTCATCATTTGTCTCTTGAACCCACTGATCCTGATTTGGACCTAGGAATTGAGAACACCAATATTAGAAGTGATATGCCAAATCCTAGTCCGAAGGAGACGTCCACAACAGGGGGAGACACCAGATTTGCACAGACCTATACACGGAAGAGCAAGACAGGTAAACAGACCCATATCTCAAGCACTGACCAAGAGTCAGAACGAAATGTAGGTCTAAAAGAAGATAATGGAGGAAGTCTGGAAGAATCAAGAGATAAGGATGATATTGACCTACCGATAGCTATGAGGAAGAAGCCGAGAGCCTGTACTAGGCATCCGATCGAGAGGTTTGTGTCTTATCAAGCATTGTCTGCTAAATTTTCTGGATTTATTGCCCATTTGAACAGTGTTACAGTACCAAAGAGCATTGAAGAGGCTATGGCCGTACCTGAATGGAGACAAGCTGTAATGGAAGAAATGGAGGCATTGATAAACAACAATACTTGGGAGGTGGTAGAATTACCTCCAGGAAAAAAAGCAGTTGGATGTAAATGGGTCTTCACACCTAAATATAATGCTGATGGGACTCTAACTAAACACAAAGGGAGACTTGTCGCTCAAGGGTTCTCCCAAGTGTACGGTATAGACTACACAGAGACATTTGCACCGGTAGCCAAACTCAATACTGTTAGAATAATTCTATCACTAGCAGCCAACCTTGATTGGCCATTACATCAATTAGATGTAAAAAACACCTTCCTAAACGGTGAGTTGAAAGAGGAAGTATATATGAAGTTGCCACCAGGATTCCCAGGAAATAAACCGAATCAAGTGTGCAAATTAAAGAAGTCCTTATATGGACTAAAGCAGTCTCCAAGAGCGTGGTTTGAGAAACTCACACGGGTACTAAAAATGGCAAGGTTCAAACAAGGTCAAAGCGATCACACGATGTTCTACAAACACCGAGGCACTAAAATTACTGTTTTGTTGGTTTATGTGGATGATATGGTTCTTACAGGCGATGATGCTGAGGAGATTGAAAATCTTAAAAGGGCGTTAGCTCAAGAGTTTCAGATAAAAGATCTTGGAGAAATGAAGTATTTTCTGGGTATGGAGGTAGCAAGATCCACGAAGGGAATATCTATTTCTCAGAGAAAATATGTGCTAGATCTCTTAAATGAGACTGGCATGCTTGGGTGTAGACCTAGTGATACACCCGTCCGAGTTGACAAGATAAGTAATGAAGAAAATCTTGGCAAGCCTGTTGATATAGGCAGGTATCAACGTATGGTGGGGAAATTAATCTATTTGTCACATACTAGGCCAGACATCGCCTTTGCAGTTAGCATGGTGAGTCAACATTCACATGACCCCAAGCAGAAACACTTGAATGAGGTCTACAGGATTCTCAGGTATTTGAAAGGTACTCCTGGAAAGGGTTTATGGTTTAAGAAATCTGAGAAGCGCGGTATGGAACTCTACACGGATGCAGATTGGGCAGGTGATCAAGAGGATAGAAAATCTACATCTGGATACTGCACCTTTGTTTGGGGAAACTTAGTTACTTGGAGAAGCAAGAAACAAAGTGTAGTAGCCCGTAGTAGTGCAGAGGCAGAATTTCGAGCTATTGTTTTGGAATCTGTGAAGGTATATGGATTAAAAGGGTGATTGAGGAACTAAAAAAGGATGTTAACCTACCTATCACTCTGTATTCAAACAGTATGGCAGCAATCAGCATCTCACACAACCCAGTCCAACATGACAGGACCAAGCATGTTGAGATAAATAAACACTTTATCAGAGAGAAGATTGATACTGGTATCATCCAGATGAGACACATAGCAACAAGGGAGCAAATAGCTGATGTTCTCACAAAAGGCTTGAGTAGAGATAAGTTTGATTATTTCATCTGCAAGTTAGACATGATTAACATCTATGGTCCAACTTGAGGGGGAGTGTGGAAATATACTATATTTAATGTAAATATCTGATAGTTATTATAGGATCAGATATATTAGGAAATCTTTTATTTTATTCTCCCTATCCCTTATTTCTTGGCCATATATCTCGGCTGATATCATGGTCTGTATGTGTATATGTATGCATCCTCCCACTGTACAGTTGAATTCAGTTTTTTGCTCAGTAATTCTTCAATATTAGTTCAAAAGTTGTTTGGGCACTTTTAGATTATTTATTTCACTCGTTGGTTTTGATGCTGGGGTTCCTTATTGGTCATGCTAGGTGTGAAGATGATGCCCTTCCAAGTATAACTTGGGTCCTTGACCTTGCAAAAATAGCTGTGCTAAGGCATGGGGTTCGTGGACTTGTAATCGATCCTTATAATGAGCTTGACCATCAGCGCCCTTCAAGCATGTAAGTTTCTCGGAGATTTTGTTCTTAATTTGGATTTTTTATTATTATTATTATTTTTTTTATGTTCATAGTTGACCTCATCATGAACTAGTTACTTCTGTGGTAGCAAATTAAAGTAATGATGCCAATAGAAAGAACCTTATTGTGTTTAGTTTGTTTGATATATACTTAAGTCTTGTTTGGTTGTTAGAAAAAACGGGAATGGAATGAAATGAAAAATTAAAGGTATAAATAAAATGGTCAAAATATGGATGGAAGATAGGTTAACTATGTTTATGATGGGAAAGGGTAAATGGGTAATATAGTTCACTAAGTTGGGAGTTGTGATTTATGAGATTGTGCAAGGTGTGGTATTGGTTTTTTATCTTGTTTACCATGAGAGGGAAAGTGATTTTGTTCATTTTTGTTTTTTTTTTAGTCCATTTCATTCCATTATTTCTAGCAACCAAACGGACCTTATATTGTCTCCCCCAGCACACGCAGAGTCGATCATTTTTCTTCTTTGCATCCTATACTTTGTTCGATGTTTACTTATTTGTTTCAGGACTGAAACTGAATATGTTAGTCAGATGCTTACCAAAATCAAACGGTTTGCCCAGCATCACGGATGCCATGTTTGGTTTGTTGCACATCCTAGACAGGTTGGTAACAGAAGGCTGTAATCTCGGCCATTCCCTCTTTCCTTTTCCTGATATATCTAATGGCCTAACAGTTGCATAATAAAAATACCAGTTACAAAATTGGGTTGGGGGACCTCCTAATCTCTATGATATAAGTGGAAGTGCACACTTTATAAACAAGTGCGACAATGGAATTGTTATTCATCGAAATCGAGATCCTGAAGCTGGGCCTATGGATCAAGTACAGGTGTGTATTTGCTGTATGACTGTGGGTGCATTGAGTGATTATTTATTTATACTAAATATATATATATATATATATATCTGTTATATGCTTTGCTTTAGGTTTGTGTTCGTAAGGTACGGAATAAGGTTGCAGGGACAATAGGTGATGCCACTTTGTTGTATAATAGGTATTTGGACTCCTACATCTCTGTTTATTGTGCTTCCATAAATTCTCATGATTAAGTCAAATTTAATCAGTTAAGGCTTATGCCAGCAAGGAGTACATTATTATGTCTTTTGAGAGCGCTTAGTTTGAATTTTGATTGTTAGAAGCTCAAGCTGCCATTGAATTTTCTGTCCTTGAACAAGAATGCAGGATTGGTTTCATATGCATTATTCAGACAGGTTTGACACATATAGAGGATTGATTGTAACATGTCTGCAATTCAAATCCCTATGACCTTGGCAAGATGAGGGGAAAAAATGAATGGAGTACAAATGTTCTAAAAACAGATTCTGATCTAAAAACACAGGTTCAATATCCTGTTTCTATCAAGGCAAAAAGAAAATTCCATTCCTCTAGATAGATTTGTGATGGGTACCTAAATTGGATGGGGAACCCTATTCTAAAATTTAGCTATTGAGATGGAAGAACCAACCCATTTAAATATCCCATTAAGCATCCTATACTATTTAATGTGTGATTTAGTATCCCATACTATCAAGTCTCCATCATTTGGCCCTCTACGGAAAGCTGATGGAATTTAGCCTCTTGTTAGTTAAAACTTTCCATGGGTAGCCTTCTTTGGAAGATTTAATAACCTAGTTCTGATACCAATTAATGGGTGCATGAGCGGGATGTGGAATCCTACTTCAGAAATTAGTTGTTGAGGTGAAAGAACCAACCCACTTAAATACCTTATTAAGTATCACATATTACTCCAAGTACTATCAAATCTCCGTCAGATTGTTGGAAGTAACCATCACTGGTGCTTACTGATCTTTTTTTTTTTTTTTTTTTTTTTGGCAGGGTAACTGGTGAGTTCACCTCTGTTGATGAAGGGAGCAAGCTTCCTCTTGGTAGCCAAAAAAGAAAGCATTCTCCGAAGAGATAGCAGGGAGCCATATATATATATATATATATTGGGTAAACGTGTTCAATAGACGGCATGACATTAGCATATGCTTGGTTCCTTTCTGGGGATGCTTGGATCTGATTGGAAATGGTGCATCAAATTTGACGGTATTATTCTTCATTGATGCAGTGTCATGTGAAAAATCTTGCTCACTTCATTTTTCAAACCACAACCCTATTGGAGATATAAATCTAATCCTCTGTGTATATATTTTGTATTGTCTTGTAATGGCCCCTTCATTCCAATTTTGACGTCATTTTATATCTGAAAGTTTGGGTGTTAAGGATATATATATATATATTACTGAACTAGATTCTGTCGAAATGGTCAGCACGTTCAATTCAAATTTAGATTTTCTCTGCTCACTTGATGTCTATTGCCTTGAAGAGAATATTTACTGAATAAGTGGACGAGGGTGAAAAACCATAATCGTATAAACCCCGTGATGCATTATTTATAGTGGGGAATTTTTTCAATAGACTTGAAGGCTTGGCTCTTATTTAAGGAAAAGTGGGAAGAAAATAAAGAGTAAAGAAAACTTTGAAGAGAAATTTCTAAACATAGTAAATTTTTTTATTACTTTTAGGAGTTTTCTTTTCTGTTTTCTTTTTAATTTTTCTTCCCATCCTTCCAAATGAAGGGAAGATGTTGTCATGTAAATTTGGGGTTGTCTTGTCTGATGAATGAATCGTTTAGTCCTAAATCATAAGTGAAAGGTGGAACTTGCTATTGCAATAATGAAATTATGAACTTATCGTCTTTTGGAGTTGCAAATGCTGAATGAATATTATTTCTTACAATTTATAAATCGTTCTACAATTCGTTAACAATTTTTCTTTTTAAAACAATTCTACATAATCCATCTCTTTGCAAGAAACACAATCCAAAAAAATTTTCTGTTGAGTTTAATTTAAAGAAATTTACACTAATCCATAAAGTGCTTTCTTTCATCTATAATCAACTTATATTAGCATGAGTGATAAGGATTCTCACTCTTAAAGCAAGCAGTCAAAAGTTCTATTTCCATCTAATGCATGCCCTTTTCCCTCACATTCCTGTTCAGTGGGGAACAAATTACATGAAAGCATTACAGTTAAAATGTGTGAAATAAAATAAAATTAATGGAAAAAATTTTGCGTGGGCTCTGTCTAACAAAGTTGCAACAGTTCAGTCAAATAAAATTGTGTCATGTTGATTTTATTTTTAGAATAGGATGTTTCTTTTTTTCCCCCCTCTATCTGTCATCATCAATGACATAATTAAGTTATATTTACAATTATTTGATATGATGTGTTTTTATTGGATAGAACATGAATGAGTGGTACACCGGTTTATGCAAGAATTTCTCAATTAAATGGAGGTAAACTGAAACTTAAGTTGTTGGGTAACGTAAATATTAGAAAGAAACCCATAATTAATGGGCATTAATTTTCAGATAAACTCATATTCTGATTATTTCATTGGGAGTTTCCAAATCACTACGTTTCCGTGATAATAAAATTAAGCTTCATCCTCTTAACTAACCTTCTTCACTAAATATCCCTATCGAGACAAACAAGAGAAGCCATTGCAAGACACTTGAATTATTATTCATTCATGTCTTTGTTCAGACGAACCATCTCAAATGACTTCAACAAATCCGACATTGATGAGCTTAGATGGGTGATTCACATTCGTCAAACGCTGGAAGAAGAGCTTGAAGAGGAAGATAATAATGGCGAATTCCTTGTGTCTATCTTCAATGTTCCTAAGCCCCTTATGACTAGTGATCCAGATTCTTATATCCCTAGACAGGTTTTATATATTTTTCTCATAGATCTTTTAGTGAGTAATAAACATTTCTATTCTTAGAAAATTTTTAACTTTTAATGTTAAGCTTTCGAAAACGCCTCACTATGTGTTTGGTTCCTTAAGTAATTTTCTAAATAGTTTTTTTTTTTTTGCTTGTTACGTTGCCATGAATTTAACTAAATTTATGGTCAGGGACATTAAATTTTACAAATATTATTCCCTAGCCACATCTATATTGCTTTTAGGAGGAATCAAAGAGGATTATTACCATATTTTTAAAATTGAATGGCCATTTAAATGAGTCTAGGAATTGATTCAAGGTTTATTCTGATAAAATTAAAAAAAATGATTCAAGGTTCATTTATTAAATTTTGGTCAAACTGATGATCAAAATTAATTTAATAAGTTTTAAATTTTATATATCAAAATAACAATGGGGAATAACAAAACCACTATTATTAAATTGCATAATTTAATATTTCAATTTATTCAAGCTATTGCTTAATCACAAATTAAGAATAAAATAGGAAATTGATGATAAATTATCATAACACTTATTAATCAAATTTATAATTATTAATAATTATGTACAAGAATAATATGGATATCATAATAATATGGATATTATACAGCATTGGAATTTTATGAGAGAAAATAATTCAAAAATGGTGCCATTTTGTACGAACTTTTTTTTTTGTGAAAAAACGATGCCATTTTTTTTACTAATAACTAAAAATTAATATGAAAAAAAAATGTATGAACCAAACAATTAATAATCCCACCATTTGAATCTTTTTAAATTTTGTATCAGTTCTAAAATTAATTGATTCTGGGAAGCAATTTTAATTTAAACCGTTTAAAGTTCAATTTTAATTTTAATTAATAACCCTTTTCTGATATAATACTAGATGATAAGCAATTAAATTGAAGAAGTAGCATAAATTTCTATCAACTAAACTAACTGCTTTGGGCATACCTAACAGATTGCAATTGGTCCTTACCATTGCTGGCGTCCAGAACTCATGGATATGGAGAGGGTCAAGCTTGCTGCTACAAAAAGACTTCAAAAAAAGCTTCAAATTAGCCTCAATTTCGAACATCTTGTTGACCAATTGAGAAAATATGAATACAGGATTAGAGCATGCTACCACAAGTACTTGAATTTCAATAGCGAAACCCTAATGTGGGTGATGATTATTGATGCCTCCTTCTTGCTTGATTTTCTTCAAGAAGGAAGAGTGATCGATTATGGTGGTGGGAGGAAATCAGGTCAAAATGATCAAACTCTAAGAGACGTACTAATGCTTGAAAATCAGATCCCATTATTTGTTTTGAGAAAAGTTTTAGAGTTCAAATTGTCATCATCATCAACAAAAGAATCATCAGCAGATGATATGCTTCTTGCTTTGTTGATAGGGTTGTTTAAAGAAATTTCACCTTTTGAGACGATGACTAAAGAAAATTATTATTCAGAGTTCCAAGTCTCACAATGTGTGCATTTGCTGGATTTCTTGTATAACATGATTGTGCCCAAATTGGAAGAACAACCAAATATGATTGACTTTGAGGACCATAACAGAGACATGGAAGGCAATGAAAAATCATTTGTGAGATACATTAAGCAAGCCTTAAGTGAGATTTGGATGATGGCATCAAGATTGACCAAATCATCAGTAAGTTTCATTCAGAAGGTATTGTTCAACTTCTTTTTCATGTTAGATCCATATAGGTGTGTCAACTTATTATGTTACATCAGATTTTCTTTTTTCCTTTTGAATTTAGCATCAGATTTTCTAATGATGATATCATTCTGGCTCCTGTAAAAATGTATCATCTCTTGTTTAAGATTTGCTTGCACTTGAATTATTTATGTATTGGGATGTTTAGTGAGAGTTGAGTTAGTTTAATATGTGAAAAGTCTCACAATGGATAGAGTTGGGTTAAAGAAGAGATATATAAATAGAAAAGATCCATAAACTCAATATCTTAATGTTTTAAGTTAAGATAGTGTCATACTAAGTGTCCTCTTGGTACTGTTAGGTGACCTAGCTGTGTTCTTTCCCTTTCTATAATGCTCTTTATATGGGAACTATGAATATGAATTTAATATCATTTTGTATAACAAACATGTATGATCAATGACTTGAGACTTATAATTCAAAGTACTATTATACAGAGTTATTTTTTCAGGTACTGTTATACAAGCCAATGAAGATCATCATTTGTATGCCTTTGACAATCATTTGTAACCTTCCGATGGTTGGGATTATAAAACACCCTTTGGAATACTTGTTTTTCTCACAAGAGAATGAGCAATCAAAAACAGAAATTGTTGATCTCAAGAAGCCACCCTTGATGGAGGAAATTGCTATCCCTTGTGTTACAGAACTTTCAAACTCTGGAATCTGTTTCTCATCCACTAATAATGGAGCAATTCACAGTATCCGATTTGATGAAGCAGCAGCCACACTTCACCTTCCCACAATAGCCATAGACATCAATAGTCAAGTGTTGCTTAGAAACTTGGTTGCTTATGAAGCATCAATTACATGCAGTGGTGGGCCACTTGTTTTCACAAGATACACAGAATTGATGAATGGGATTATAGATTCTGAGGAAGATGCAAAGATTTTGAGAGAAAAAGGGATTGTTTTAAACCGTTTGAACAATGATGAACAAGTGGCTAACCTGTGGAATGGGATGAGCATGTCCATTAAATTGACAAAAGTACCATTCTTGGATAAGGTCATTGAAGATGTGAACAAGTACTACAATGGCAGGATGAGGGTTAAAACTTGGAGACTTATGAAGCTTTATGTGTTTGGTTCATGGCAGTTTCTGACATTTATAGTTGTTGTATCGATCTTGCTCTTGATGTTCTTTCAAGCTTTCTGCTCTTTTTATGGATGCAATTGTAGAAACCATGCCAAGAATATTAGGTGATTATCACCACAAAATAATAATAACAATAATAATAGGCTTTAATAATGACTTTCGACGAAGACTTTCAATTATCATTGCAGTGAAATTTAAGCTTACTCAAAATTCTTGTTGCTCGAATTTAAATTTGCCTTTAACTCAATTCACCTATGCTTTTAGATATAAAAAAAAAATTGTCTTTAGGTTCTTTAACGATTTTAGGAAATTTTGATGATTGTTCTTGGAAATTTGGAATGCCAAATTTAATATGATAGGTGCCACATCATCTTTCTAATAGTAATATTTAAAATTAAAGGGACTTTGAATATTGAAAAAATATAAAAATTAATAACAAAACATAATAAAATTATATAAGGACTAATTGTATTTTATCTATTTTTTTAATCTTTACTTGTGCACCTTGACTCAAGTTATGCATAAATAAATTGACGACCAAAACTTATCTTTTATTTTATTTTTATTTTTCTCTTTACTTGATGAGCACCTTGCCTTCACAATTCAATGTCAATCCTCAAAATTCCTGGTCAAGGTTTAATTCCAACATGAATAATAATGGTTCAAAGACCAGACCAATCATGTCCATGAAAAATGATGTGGACATATGAGATCTCCATATTCTATAAAGCACGCTATTTGGAATATCAAAGGTGGGAGTGGGACCCTCCCAAAGCAGGGCTTCCAGTTATTGATTACATCATGATGAGAAATTTTCACCTAGTGAAATTTGAAACCATACAAATATGGAGGGGGGGGGGAATAGTACAGCAACGAAATCATCATAATTTCAAATTAATGACTTGAATAGTAGGTCGAGCGCAGTTGATAATAAAACATTAGTAAGGAGTTTTTAATATGCCTTTTTTCTAATATTTTTTTTGTAATGTTTCACCTTCCCAAATTCATTTTTCTTTTTTATTATTTTTTGGCTACTACATAAAATTAATAAGAGATATTTTGATATTTTAAAATCCCAAAATGATAGAGTTTTGTGTTTTGTTTTATAATTTTTTTAAAATATTAAAATCACACACTTTTTATTTCTGAAAAATAATTAAAAAGATATAAACCCTATCATTTAGAAATTTTAAGATATAAAAATATCTCTTATTTTATAATACAAACAAAAATTAAGACGATGGAGCATAGTAAAAAATATTAGAGAATGGCAAATTACAAACCTTAATGGTAAGAGTCTAAGAGAATAAGCTTTTCAGATTCCCTATTACAGGACTGGGGAACCTTTAAGAAAATTGCTCTGACGAGATCGATGTAGAGAGGCAATTGAGCGGCGCCAAAGAAAGTAACAGGCAAGATAGTGACAGCATAGAGCGGGAAAACAACCTGCTGGAGGTTGTCCTTGAGCAAAAAGAAGAACGCAGCAGAGAAAGAAACCAAGACTAAAGCGATGGACATGAAGAGGCAACTCAACCCCAAAAGAAGTTTGAGAGGCAAATCTCTGCGGAAATCTCGAGGCTGCTGGCGGGAAGTGAGGATGGAGAGGAACATGATGAGAGAGGTGATGGAGCAGCAGAGAGCCAAGAGGGATGTGAATGCAAACAAGTTGAACGCCGGGTGGTGTTGCAGGTTAGGTTTTCCGGTCTCCTCCTGAGTACCGCCGGGGATAGCGGTGGCCGTCGCAAAAGCCACACCTGCAATAAGCACAGCCACGACGGAGCACGACTCCGACGTGCTCTTGAGCCAGTCGGTGCCTTCTTTCACAAGATCCTTGTGAGCACTTACGAAAATGTCCTGCGGTGTCTCGTTGCTATGGTTTTGGAGAAACCGCAAATGGTGAGGCGTGTTCTCCTTCATAAACTAGAAATAGAAAAACAAAACTTCCATCAACAAACGCATGCATGAGATCGATGAAATGATTGAGGAGGAGGAAGAATAGTAGAAATGATACCAGAAACCATTTAACTTGCCATTGCATTTGCAAGGCAGAACCAGCAATGTGCCAGGGCTTGCAACTGGAGAATTGTGCCGCCAAGTGGAGGACGGTGTTGCCGTTTTTGTCGACACGTCCGGCGAAGTTTTCCCACAACATCTTCTCCCGGAGGTGCTTCGTCAGAAGCTTAAATACGTGAGGTTGCCTGTTCTCAACAGCCACATGCAATACATTTTGGTCTAGCGAGTTAGTTTCGTGGATCGACCCTGGTTTGTCTTTCAGAATTTTCTTCAATATTTCCAACACCCCATTTTTCGCTGCAATAAACAATGCTGACTCATCTTTCCCCTGTTCACTTTTATCCTCCTCTTCATGAATAAACAAGAGATAAAAGGATTTCAGTTTTATTAGAAAGAAAAAACTTCACATAATTTCATCCATCTCACTTCCAAATGGGTTATATATAATTAACATTTGACTTCTAAATACATGAAAGTCCCATGCACAAAACGTCACCTGCAACACCAATGCAGTTGTATTTATACACATATACATGTGGATAGCATACAGTTGATGTGAATGTGAGTAACATAATGTATATTCATAATTTTTCTTTTTTAGTATTTTTCTTTATTTTATTATTTTGGGATAATGTAACTATTACTCCCTCAAGTTTGTTTTAGTTATCGATTTAGTTTTTTAAATTTAATTTTTATCCATTTGGTCCTTTAAATTTACTTTGCTATCAATTTGGTCTTTATTATTTAAAAAAGAGGTTGCATTGTTAAAATTTATTAATATTAATAACATAATATTGATGGCAGCTATGAATATTAATGAAAAGAAGTATAATTATTTAGGTAAAAAAATATATTCTGAAATTTTAAAAACAAGAGAACATAACATAGTGTAAAGGGATTAGATTGATAAATATTGAATTTATTTGAGGCCTTGAGGGTTAATTTGTTCTCATATATTTAGCTACATATACATGCTAAGTTATCCATATATTTTACACATCAAGTTATTTTGAGAGTAAATTTGTCTTTTAAAACTTAAAAAACTTATATAATAATTTAAGAAAACATAAGGGATCAAATTGAAAACAGAAACAAACTTGAAGGATTAAAAGTTTCATTTTCTCTAATTTTTTATAAAATATAAAATCTTATCTTTTTTCTAAAAAAATTCACATATATATTCAATAATCTTAACGTTAGGTGATTTAAATTCACTTTAAATAGCATATTAAGCATCTCATATATTCTGCCCAATGGGGGACTCAATATCCCATATTATTGGCAGAGCCATGACTTGAGATTAGGGGGTGCAAGACAGCAAAATTTAAAAATTAGTAATTAAAAAATAATATAATAATTTTAAAAATAATTACATTAGGCAAAAAATATAATAACATAAGTAAAATCATGTATATTTTATCTCAAAGAATATATTTAGAATTTTCTTAGGCAAAAATGTGTTAAGAAGGTTGAGATAGAGCTTAGGTTTGAAAGAAAACTATTACCAAAAGGATGACTTATTAACAAGAAGGTTGATATAGAGCTTAGGCTTGAAAGAAAGGAAAACTACTACCAAAAGGATGACTTATTAACAAGAAGGTTGATATAGAGCTTAGGCTTGAAAGAAAAGAAAACTATTATCAAAAGGATGACTTATTAACAAGTGGTTGGATTTTATTTATAAAATAAACAGCTTTATTGATCCATTTTTTTAATGATATGTTTAATGAGTTTAAATTTTTTTGGCTTGAATTTATGGAATATGAGTTAAAATATCATATATTTAAAAAAAATTTAAGATCAAATGATTTTCATCAAGTATAAAAGGTTCAAAATTCTAAAACTAGGGGTGCAATAGTGTAAATTTTACATGCTCCATATATATAATTCTCTCCATGGGGTGGGCGGGGGGACTCACATGTAAGTGGCTCCACCACTGCTCCACATCACTTAGCTTCCTCTATCTCTAACTATGTATATATGTATGCATGTGTATCTAAAGAAAGGTAAAAATAAGAAAAGATCAATAACTTTTTTTTTACTAGTTTTTTTTTTCTTTTACCAGAGAAAAGATCAATAACTCCATGATATAGAATGATGAGAGAAAAGTGAAAAACCTTTTCGGTCGACATTGGCCGTACAACTAGGTTTGGATATCCAAAAGGCTTTGAGGCCACCTCCAATGTATGCTTCATTTTTATGCTTCCAAAGTTCATCCAGTATTAGAGCGCACCAGACATGCTTTTGTTTCTTCTTCCACAAACTCTTTAATATCCTTAATAATCCTTAATTCAATATAAACACCCACAAGTTCATATAACAGACAATTAAAACACCATCAATTATTTTACACCAAAAAAAAAACACCATCAATAATTAATATATAGCTTTGCTCCTCCAAGGCATTCTCTCTTGCGCACCTCCACTGCATGGAGAAAAAAATTCGGACGGACCATATTTAATGTTTTTATTTTTATTTATTAAAATAAAAAATTTATAACAATTTAAGAAATTTATTCACTTATCTAGATAATCTAAATTTAATATGGATAATCTATTAATTTTTTTATAAATTGACTATCCAGATACATGTCCTGAACAATGTGGATTTAATATGAAAATTTTTGACAATTTTTATATTTTTTAATATTAAATTTGGACAATTTATTTTAAATCTAAACTTTCCAAACTAATGATCTGATTTATTAATTTTTTTATTAATTTTATAAAGTTTTATTTCAATAAATGTAAAATAAAAATAAAAATATGAAATCTAGACCCTCCAAATTAAATCTAGAGAGTCCTAGATGTTTCATTCATGCAATGGAGGCATAAAGGAGATGTGCTAGGGATTTGGATTTGATGTTTGTCTCATTTAAACTGTTGAAATCCATCTCAACAGTTTAAATAAATTTATCCGTTTATGAATTTCAGATAGAATATAAATTCAAAACTATTTATATAAATTTTAACAGCTCAAAGGAGATAATCACTCAAATCCGAGGTGCTAGAGGAAGGAACTCGGGTCCAGCGTGGCTAGCTTGTCATTAGGTAGAGAGCGAGAGAGTACTGTACCAAATGCTTCCAAGACAAGCCCAATAAAATAGGTGATGAAAATGTCACAACATGTCCAATAATTTGGAGGAACCCTTCTATATTCATTGATGTAATCACTTGGGTTTTCTGCGTCCGCTTTACGTTCTGGAAGAGCTACGACAAAACATGCAAGAACTTTGCTTTCAGATCATAAATATAAAGCAAAATTAAGATAAACAAAATACTTTGTTTTCATTAATTAATATGAACTTGCCAGTCTGGGCTCCTCGACATAATTTTGACCGATAGAATAGTGGGCTGATGCTCCTCAACGGTTTCACGTATATGCCTTCCGCAAGGAAAAAGGAAAATAAATAAATAAAAAAATAATTACAGTCTTGATTTTTAGATATTTTTTGCAAAAAAAATATGGGCTTATTTGTTTGTGTACTTTTTTTTTTGAAAAAAAGATGTTTTGCAATACAATTTTTAATTTTTTTAAAAACAAAACAAAAGGGAATACACATGTTTGATTATGTTAATTTAAAAACAGTTTTAAAATTAAAAAAAAGGCTTTTAGTGATGGTCACCAGCGATTAATAGCTGTCGTTTATGATAATTACTAGTCAAGATAACTGCAATTTTCAATGATCAAATGTAAGGTATTTTCAAAATAAGAAAATAAAAAGAAAACAGCTTTAAAATGTCTTTATTTTTTGTTTTGAAAAATAAAAAAATGAGAATAGTTTAAAAAAAAATTAGATTCAAAAAACTTATTAAAATAATTTTTTTTTGTTTTTAAAACAAATTTTTTTTTGAAAATAGAAACCAAATAGGCGCTAATTCTGCCTCCATTCTTTTTTATAAGCCAAAATAGATGAAACAACTTACAAAATTTAGATAGCAATTAACATGTTTTTCCAAAAATACCCTTATATATAATGGTCTTAGTTAATTAAGAGTGTTTGAAGTATTTAATTAAGGGTATTTTCAGAATAGGTCAATTATATATGTGTGTGTCTGTGTTTATATATATATATATATATACTTACACTTGTATGCCAACTTGGTATACCATCTAAAATTGCTGCTGCTTTCGAAGGCAGAAGGTTTGTCGGCTAGGATATGGAGAGGGGTAATTCCCTTTTCATCCACGGAGCCCACAATTTCCTTATCGTACATGTGAATGATTTCAAATGCCAATGCTGTGAATATATGTGTACGTGAGCAAGAATTAATTAATTAATTAGTTGTAAATTTACAACAAGTCTGCTTCCTCCTGTAATATTTGCGAGTCAAATTTAGAAATGTACAATTTGTTGCATCAATTTTTCAGAATAGCATTTAAATTTAAAAACATTAATCCACAAGTGAATGAAACTTGTGTGTGTCAACCCAGTGGACTCATATCCAAAACAGAGTCACCGATTCATTAGTCTAACCGGAGGCAATTCTAGGTCAGATGTCAAGGAACCTATAATATAAGTAATTAATTTACGTACCAAAGTAGTCTCGGCTGAGGGTGCAATGAAGGACTGTCTGGCCATCGCTTGCTCTTCTGCATGGCCCAAGAGACTTGTCGGCGCAACGAGATTGGAGGTAAAAGAAAACATCGTTATGTCCATTTAAAGCAGCCAAGAACAGAGGAGTCTCTCCATTATTGTTCCGTTCTTCAATCAACTTGTGTCCTTGATGACGATGGTGATCAGCTTCAATGATGCACTCACACATCTGGAGCGACCCTATGGATGCTGCACAATGCAACGCTGTGTCCCCTGAAACATTCTTTTGTTTCAGCACCTCCATCAAACTCTCCGCCTCCTTGTTCTTAATTTCACCCACCAGCTGCTGAACGGCGTATGATTTGTTGTCGTTCGCAGCAACGTGCAACGCGGTGTCGCCGGAGCGGTTGATGGGCATGGTGTGAATATTTTCTTTGTCCTTGTACGCCAACACAACTTTACACCATTCACCCTCTAGCGTGAAATGGTATATATCGTGCGCCATCGTTAGATATTCAATATCCATAAAAGACTCCATACGTTCCATTTTGCAGCAATGCTAGAATTACCCACAACAGGCATGGACAGTGCCGGTAGCTAGTGACGGTGGGGGTATATATAGCCTTTTATAAAACATTAATTTAACTTCGTCCACTGTGCTACCAAACTCATTCCACATATATCTGGAAATGCAATTAGAATATGACCTTTCCTTGTATGGAAGGACAGGGTATCATTTTCTTTTGATCTTTAATCTCAAATTTGTTTCTTTATTAATTTAGTCTTTCAAATTTAATTTTTATTAATTTTAATTTGTCCCTTAAGTTATATTTTTTAAAATTTATCATGAGTTCTTTAAGTTTTAAAGCACAAAATGATTTTATAGGGTGTGAAGAGCAATCCAATAAAAATTTCATGTTTTTGATCTCAACCTTGTCATCTGCTTTAGGTCTCTAGACAGATTTGGATCCTCTCTATATGCTCGCTCAATACCTTCCTCAATACTCAATCACATTTGTCGATTTAATTATTTATTTAATTTAGTGATATAAGATTGCTAATTATGGTATTAAAAAAAATATATTATTATCAACGAGCTAAACACATAGCTCAACTAGTAAAGGGTTGTACTAATTTAACAAATGATTTTGAATTCTAGTGTTGAGTATGCAAATATATATATTAAATAATCATTGTAAAAGTTTTGCTACCAATGTAATCCTGCCTTATTCGGCTCAAGAATAATGGATTCTTGTATTAACAAATAAATAAATAAATAAATAAATATATATTATTCATTTAATAATTACCATAGAAATATTATGATCTTATTTTTATAAAGAAACTTTGATAAGTGATAATAATGAATATAATATATTTATTTTAATGTCATAATTATACCATTAAGCTAAATAAATAATTAAAATAGACAGATGATATTGAGTATGAAGAGACGTATTAAAGAAGGATATCAAAAGAATGCAAACCCGCCGGGCAGCATATAGTTACTTATATATAATTAATTGTTAATACGTTGAACATATTCATAGGGATAGAGCCTAGCTAGAAAATTTATTTGATTTGGAGGTAAAATTCATGCCTTACATTAAAATACTACTCCATTTTTAAATATGAGAACAAAAAGAATAACCAACTTGTTCAGGTAAGAAAGTTAATTAAGTGTAACAATTGTTTTTGGAATTAACAAATTTAAAATAAATTACCTAAAATTAATTAAACAAATTTGTCTTATGAAAAAAACATTGACTTTATGAGGAAAAATTAGAAAAAATATTATAAATGTTTTTTTAAAATTTTATAGTTTTGCTTATGAAAAAATAAAGAGATATATGATAATTTTTCTCATAATAAAAATAATGAAGGAAGTATATTTTTTAACATCCAACCTAAAAAAATGCTTCTAATTTTTTTAACAGAGAGAGTATATATTTTGACTCAAGTAGATGTAAGTACCATGGACACACTATTTTAATGATGTGTTGTGGGGTTCTTTTTAAGGTTAAATGATAAATTTACCTTTAAACTATAAGGTTAGAAGTCTGAGACTCTAAACTTATTTTTAATGCATTGTTTCTCTATAACTTTTGAAAATAATATAATATTATTCCTACTATTAATAAATATTAACTTTAACTTTTAGTTAACTAAAAAAATTATAAAATATTTCCAAGTATTCTTGGTTTTGGATCCTTGTATGTAGTTTCGGGTCCCTTTTTTAATTTTTGAGGTTTTTTTATAATTTTTTATCAAGTAATAAGTAAAATTAAATTTTATTAATAGTAAGAGTAACATTGCATTGTTTATAAAAATTGAAGAAAAATATTATATAAAAAATAAATTTAAGATCTAAATGTGGATCTAACTTAAAGTTTTTGGGCGAAATTACACTTTAACGATTTTTTTTATTAAATACTTTTCCTCTTTTTAATTCCTAAAAGTGTTTGTAGTTAATTAATTTACAATCTTGAAAATCACAAAATTGAATTGACAAGCTTTCTTATCAAATACTTTTCCTCTTTTTGATTTCTAAAAGCATTTGAAGTTAATTAATTGACAATCTTGAAAATCACAAAATTGAATTGTGACTGGAGTGAGAGCTATGAGCTTTTGCGTTTCGCCGGTCAAAATTCAACCTCTTTATTTACCCATGTTTCACGCATGTTTTTCTAACTACTCTGTAGATCTTGATTCTTAACCTGCTCAGGCGAATCCTATCTTCACAAAGGTAAATACTCTCTCCCTCTCTTTCTACAATTTTACATATCTAATACTGCTACCTCTCTTTCAATTTTTAAGACATTTTTAAAAAAAATTTAATATCTTAAAATATAAGATACTTTAACAAAAATTAAATTTTATTATTAATTTTTTAATATTATTCTTTTCATATATTTTCTCTCTTTAATATTCTTTTATAAATAAAGTACTAATGAAGAAAATTTTTAGAAGTTTATATTTTTTTGTATGTCTTATAAATTGGGTCTACATACCTACCAAGAAAGATAGATACATAGTTAAGATTCTTATTTTCTAACATTGTCATTTTTAAATGCATGGAAAATGATATATATATACACACACACACACTAATGAAGCTATAAATCAAACCATAAGTAAAGATAATGGTCTACGATTTCAAATATAATACATTTTTATCTATAGCACACATTCACCAAGAAAAAACATTTTAGGTAAGATCTCGAATTCGTTTTCAACTTTAGCTTTATTTAACACTGTTGATCATTGAGTATTTGTTAATTAGCTGAGATTACGTAATTTGGTATACTCTCCTTTTAAATACAAAGGTATTAATTGCTCTTTAAATTCTATGAAATTTCTTCTATTTTGGAACATAAGTCTTAAAAAAAGTCTTATATTTGAAACAAACGTAGTATTAATTATCGTTAAAATTATGTAAATTGTCTGATATATAAAAATATATTACTTTCCAAAAAAAAAATCTTGCATTTAAAACGAATGGAATATGTATTATGTTCCTAGGGAGAGAGATAAGTAAAAAGACTTCATCAAAATAAGAGATAAAAAAGAAACATAACTCTCGTGCACATGATTCTCTATCTTATTTTATATCATATGATGTCCTTTACCTCATGCGTTTTCAGATCTTTAATGGCGAAAATTAATCAGCTTATGCAATCTTGCCTTCACAATTTAGCAATCTTGAAAGTTACAAAATTGGATAGAATTATTTGTCCTGCAAAAAGCAACACTCATATCATACATTGCCATGTGTTCCACAAATTACTATAGACAGTTTATATTTTATTTTCTTTGTGGGCGCCGAAGACTACAGATAGAAACAAACATGCTAGAATCCAAACAAGTATTATATTGGTTTAACTTACTGGCAAACAACTTTGTTGATAATCGATTTTTGACTTAATTAATTAATTATATTGTTATTAATACAATAATTAATATTAATTTTAACGTTTCCCAGGAATCATTCTCAAAATACAAGAAATTAATTAAGAGACTATTTTGAAAGTAAATAGACAGTTTAAGGATAATATTTACTTATCCATTTCGAAATAACGTAATCAAATAGTAGAGGATATGTTTGCTACGAGTCATCTACATGTGATAGAGAAAGGATACACATGACTGCACAAATTTTGAATGTTTGAAAACTTGGATTGAGAAATTAAAATCAAATCAAAACAATGTTGGCGGCACTAGTAGAAACGCGAACGGCGAGGTACGAATTGCTCGAGTCATAGCCGGAAGGACACTGTCCTTAAGAACTATTCCGGCACAATGTAAAGACACTGATAGTGTGGGCTTTTCACCTATTAGAATACTTGCTAAGAAATTTTTCAACCACTCAGCCTCAGTCCCAGCCAGCTCCATGGCAATGAACTTAGAATCCCTTGAGGATTTTGTGTTGATTGTCTGTTTTGCAGACTTCTAGGTTATTGCACCACCACCAAGAGTGAATGTAACTACTAGTGGATTTTGTCTCTTCTGAATCTGAAATCCAGTTAGCATCATTGTATCCTTCCAATACAATGAGAAATCCACTATACAATATACTATAATTCATGGTACCTCTCAAATATCTCAAGACTCTTACCAGAGCCTTTCAGTGTTTACTGCCTGGACAGTGGATATATCTGCTCAATCTGCCTACAGCATAAGCTATATCAGGCCTAGTAAAGTTCATCACATGCAACAGACTCCCAATAATCTGTGCATACTCAGATTGAGCAACTGGGTCACCCTTGTGCTTTTTTAATTGCACACTCGAATCATAAGGAGTACTCAGAGGAGCATCTTCAAGATGTCTAAACTTTCTGAGAATTTTCTTAACATAATGTTCTTGAGAAAGCAAGATTCCATTTTCATTTCTTATGATTTTTACACCCAAGATTACCTTGGCTTCACCCATATCTTTCATGTCAGAATTTGAAGAAAGAAATTTTTTTGGTTTCATTAACAACACATATACTAGAGTCAAAAATTAGCATATCATCCACATACAAGCATATAATCACACAATCATTATTCACAAGCTTTGTATAAACACACCTTTCTACTTCAACAGTAGAAAATCCACCAGTTGTTAAAACTTGATCAAGTTTTTCATGCCATTGCTTAGGCACTTGTTTTAAGCCATACAAAGACTTGACAAGTTTACAAACTTTATTTTCTTGCCCAGGAATCACACATCCCTCAGGTTGTACCATGTAAATTTCTTCTTCCAAATCACCATTTAAAAAGGCTGTTTTAACATCCATTTGGTGAATAAAAAGTTTGTAAATTGAAGCCAAAGCAATGAGAACTCTTATAGAAGAGATTCTAGTTACAGGAGAAAATGTGTCAAAATAATCTATATTTTCTTTTTGAGTAAAACTCTTAGCCACAAGCCTTGCTTTATACTTATCAATTGAACCGTCTGGAAAATATTTTTTCTTAAAAATCCATTTACACCCAATAGCCTTAGCTCCTTAGGGCAAATCTGAT